ATCGCAGCTCAGTGTATCGCTTTCAGCCTGGGGACCGTTCGGCAGGATGAGGTCGAGGTAGACCGCGTATACAATGCCAACTTTGTGGCAAGATCGGAAACCTTGTCAATCGATGCTGGCATAGGTTCGATGAGACCTTCACTGGCATAGATGTGGATGCTAGTCAGTTTCGTTCTAAGCAGGAAGCAGCAAGTGCAAACTTCACTGCTGTGGAAAACTCGGATTGTAATTGTTGTCATAGCAAGGAGCGTGGAGGTACTCAGGCAGATGAGTCGTCTTCTGCTCGTGCTGAGTTAGCAACTGGTTTGAATCAATGGGTGGTTGATTCGGGTGCTATACACCATGTTACACCTGAATCTCAGAATGTTACTCAACGGGCTGAGCATTATGGTCCAGGTAAGCTAATTGTGGGTAATGGAATGTCGTTAGGAGTTGATATGGTTGGTAGTGCTGTTATATCCTCATCATCATTTCGTCCACTGTTTTTGAATGAGCTTTTGTATGTACCTGGTGTGACAAACAATTTGCTTTCGGTCTTAAAGTGTGCTAGGGATAATGGAGTCTACTTCGAATTTCATGCGTATGGATGTCGAGTTCGTGACAGCACTACGGGTGAAGTGTTGTTGACAGGGAAGGTTAAAGATGGCTTGTATGTCTTCTCAGAGTCTGGCTCATCAGGTGTTTGTGATAAAGCTCAAGTAAACTTTGCTGGTCTTAGTAATAATAGCTTGTATCACCTCTGGCATAAAAGATTAGCTCATGCCAGTTATAATACTATAGTAAAAGCGTGTAAAGCAATTGATGTATCATTTCCTTCCAATATGAATGAAAAATGTGATGCGTGTTGTGTTGGAAAGAGTCACAAGTTAATGTTTCCTCATTCTACATCTGTTTATCATCAGCCGTTTGAGTTGGTATTCACTGATCTTTGGGGACCAGCACATGTTGCGTCCAAAGGTTTCAAATATTATTTAATGTTTGTTGATGCTTACTCGAGGCATATGTGGATATATTTTCTGCAAAACAAAGCTCAAGCTGTTCTGGTGTTTCGGTTGTTTCAGAAGCTTGTGCTGAATCAATTTGGAGCTACAATTAAAGCTATCCAAAGTGATTGGGGAGGAGAGTACATGAGTCTGTCTCAAATCTTGCTACAAGAAGGGATTGATCATAGGCTTTCATTCCCGCACACTTCCGAGCAGAATGGAGTTGTGGAGAGGAAACATAGACACATTGTGGAATTAGCCTTGGTATTGCTAGCACAAGCCTCTATTCCTGTACAATACTGGTTTTATGCTGCCATGACTGTTGTGTACTCCATTAACCGCTTGCCAACAGAGGTATTAAATGAGGTGTCTCCTTATGAAAAGCTACTTGGTAAGAAGCCAGATTATACATTGATGAAAGTGTTCGGTTGCAAGTTTTTTCCTCATTTGAGGCCATTTCAAACTCACAAACTTGATTTTCGGTCACAAGCGTGTACATTCTTAGGGTACAGCTCACAACACAAAGGTTATTTGTGCCTCGCGTCTAGTGGGAAAATTTATGTCTCTCGACATGTTGACTTTGATGAGAATGTGTTTCCATTTGCGGGACTGTTTGATAAATCCTTTGCACGTACGGGGAGGTATCTAGACTAGACTCACCTGATCTGGAAATTGTGACTGATGTACAGCAGCTAAGAACAATGACAGATGTTGTGAACACTGATGATGGACTGTATGATGATATGCAGCAGGTTTCAGGAGGGGAGTCACTTGGAGAAACTGGTGCATCTACTTCATCAGGAAATTTTGATGAAGAATCGACTTCTGGAAGCCAATCTGAGGTGCATAGTGATGATGTGCAAAATAGTGGTACGGTGCAAGACACCGTGATTTCCAGTGCTAATGGTGGTGTTGTGCAAGAGCCTTTGGTGCCTGTTGTGTCAGCTGGAAATACTCATTCTATGCTCATGATGAGCAAGTGCGGCGTGTTTAGGCCTAGAGTCTATATGATGTCTTCAGAGGCAGTTGAACCAACCAATGTATATGATGCACTAAAATCTCCCAACTGGAAAGCGGCAGTACATACTGAATTTGATGCACTGCAGAACAATGGCACATGGATAGTGATGAAGCTGCCACCTGGTAGGTCAGTTGTGGGATGCAAATGGTTGTTCAAGCTAAAAACTAATCCAGATGGATCAGTTCAGAGATACAAAGCTCGGTTGGTTGCGAAGGGCTATTCTTAAGTGCCAGGGCAGGATTTCACTGAAACCTTTAGCCCCGTAATCAAGTTCCCTACAATTTATGTAGTCTTGTCGTTAGCTGTAGCAAGGTGGTGGCAGCTGCGTCAAGTTGATATAAACAACGTGTTTTTGAACGGTGAATTGCATGAGGACGTTTACATGCAGCAGCCACCGGGGTTGAGCAATATATTGAAGATGATAGTCAGCTTGTTTGCAAATTGAATAAGGCGTTGTATGGACTTCGCCAAGCGCCTAGGAACTGGCAAGCACGTTTGAAGCAGTGTTTGCTTCAGCTTGGGTTCACTGAGTCCAGGGCAGATACGTCGTTGTTTATTCGCAACAACAGTGGTGTGTGCACATATATGCTCGTGTATGTTGACGATATTGTAGTCACTGGCAGCTCGAATGCAGAAATCGATGATGTGGTTCGGTAATTGAATCTTGCCTTTGCCTTAAAAGACTTGGGCGAACTTGGTTATTTCCTTGGCATTGAGATTGAGAGGTGCGAAGGCTCAGTAGTGCTTAGCCAGCGTAAATACATTCTTGAGTTGCTAACAAAGACAGGCATGGATAAAGCTGGGTCAGTAGTTACACCTATGGTGTTAAGTAAACTTCAATATGATGTTGGTGATCTGCTGGAAGATGCAAGGGAATATCGTAGTGTTGTTGGAGCGTTGTTATACGCATGCCATACTCGACCTGATATCACATATAGTGTGAATCAAGTTGCCCAGTACATGCATGCACCACGACAGGGTCACTTGATTGCTGTCAAGAGGATACTTTGGTATCTTGCAGGTACGCTTGAATATGGTCTTGTGATTGCTCCGTATGGAGCCAATATGAAGATAGTGGCATTCGCCGATGCAGATTGGGGAGGTAATCGTGATGACAGGAAGTCGATTTCGGGACATTGTGTATTTTTGGGAGACAACCTTGTGTCCTGGACATCCAAGAAGCAAAAGACAGTCTCGAGGTCCACGATGGAAGCTGAGTATCGCAGTGTGGCGGATGTAGCAGCAGAGGTGGTCTGGATTGATGCACTTCTTTCAGACATGGGAGTGGTGAAGCAAGGTGTGCCGGTCATCTGGTGTGATAACAGTGGGGCAATGGCTATGAGCAGTAACCCAGTGTATCATGCCAAGGCTAAACATGTGGAGCTTGACGTGCATTTTGTGAGAAAGAAGGTTGTTGCTAAACAAGTGGTTGTGAACTACGTTCCAGCGAGCCATCAGGTTGCAAATGGACTTATTAAACCGTTGTCCAGACCTCTGTTTGAACAATTTCGGTCTAAGGTTCAAGTGTTTTCGTTTAACAGAAGGACAGGGAAAGAAAGCAGGGAGAATGTTAGTAATATAGGTAGTTTTTGAGTTTGTTATGAACGGTTATTGCTGTATGCAGTTAGCCTAGTGTGTAAGCTGGCAATGTACCTATATAAGCTTGGTTAGTGTGTGTAGAATGATGAGTAGTGTAATATACTTTCTTGATAATATACTGAGGTTCTTTACATGGTTTGACAATTTGTCGAGTAATCTAATAGAAAAAACCACGGAATTCTCGATTGCAACCAACATTGTTAATTTTATTAATTAAATCACTTGATTATTTAAATAATATTATTCAAATCATTTACGTTAACATATGATAATATGAATTAATATAATTATATATTTAGTGTCGTCAATGGAGATTTCATTAGATTCTTGAAGGACTAGAGGAAAATCAGAGCACAAGATATAAATGACAATAGAGATTGAAGATTGTAGTTTTTTTTGGCAAAAAAGTATTAGAGGTCCCTGTACTTTTTGAGAAAAATCAATGTGTCCTCATATTATTTTTTCTCTCAATTTGACCCTTCAACTCAGAAACTAAACATAATGTGGCCCTTTGACCAACGTTTTTCGTTGTTGACTGTTACAATATTAGTACACTAGTTCACGGTGCTGACGTAGCGGTTCATCTGCTATGTTAGAGTTAACAATTTAACCCAATTGCCATACCATCCACTACGTTAATCGTCCACCTGAATTGACATATCAGTACTATGACATGTCATGTCAATACTATAATGGTCAACGACCGAAAAACATTGGTCAAAGGGTCACATGGAGTTTATTTTCTAAGTTGAAGGGTCACATTGAGAAAAAAATATAATACGTTGGCCACATTGATTCTTTTCAAAAATATAGAGATCTCTAATACATTTTTGTCTTTTTTTTCATTTGGTGCCATTATCAATTGCAAAACGAAGATGAATAACGATGCCAATGAACGAATGTAGACCAACATAACAGTGAAGGATGATGGTAAAGGAGATAATAATAAAAGTATTAAAGGTTAATTTTTAAATTAAAACTAAATTATAACAATATATGCAAGTCAAAGCTTAAATTCTTATTATGCCAATTTTATTTCATAGTCATTAAATTTTTAAAAGTACTAAATTGTTACTTTTTGAATTTAACTTAAAAAGATTATTTAAATATTTTATATTTTAATTTAACAAAATTAATATATTAATTATATATTTTTAATCATTGTTGATCATTTTGTGAATGTTGTTTTTATACATTTATAAATATAAAAAATTATTAGATAGAACTCAACATGTTATTTGTAATCTCAACTATTATTATTTTTTCATTTTATTTTTTTAAGAAATATCTTCATCTATTTTCTAATTAAAAATAAAAATAAACAATAATTATTCTAAAATTATTTTAAAATAAATAAATATAATTTACTAAAATCATAGATGAGTTGATGAGCCATGACCATTTAATAATTTATCAACACTAGAAAGGTATAGGTAAGATAGAGAATATCATCAGACAAAACAGCAATGGAGAGGAAAGTGGCCATCATCGGAGCTGGTGTAAGTGGCCTCCTTGCCTGCAAATACACCTTGTCCAAAGGTTTCAACCCCATTGTTTTCGAATCCCAAGCCTCCATCGGCGGTGTCTGGACCAAAGCTCTACAGACCACGAAGCTCCAAACCCCAAAGCCACTTTATCAGTTCTCCGATTTCCCATGGCCACCGTTGGTGACAGAAGATTTCCCCGACAAACACAAGGTCTTCGATTATGTTAAGGCTTATGCAAAGCACTTCGACTTGCTTAAGCACATCAAATTCAACACCAGAGTTGCTGGGATTGAGTATGAAGGTGCCCGTGACGAAGAGATCCAGTCTTGGAGCTCGTGGGGTGGCACTGGTGAGCCCTTCAGCCCCATGGGGAAGTGGAAACTCGTTGTTGAAGACTTGAATACACAGTCAACTCAGGTATAGCAATATATGTATATGTAGTGATACATGCATATCATGAACTGATTAACTTCATTTCTGCAGATGTACCTAGTGGACTTTGTAATCATCTGTGTAGGGCGGTTCAGCGGCGTGCCAAATATCCCAGAATTCCCTCCGAACAAGGGTCCCGAAGCATTTCACGGCAAGGTGATACACTCCATGGACTACGCAGCCATGGAAGATGTAAAGGCGGTCGAGTTCATCAAAGGCAAAAGAGTCATCGTCGTTGGGTTCCAGAAATCTGCACTGGACATCGCCATGGAATGTTGTACAGCAAATGGGATGGAAAAGCCATGCACAGTTTTATACAGGACAGCACACTGGAACCTCCCTGATTATCTTCCCTGGGGATTTTCATTGGCGCATATGTATCTTACTCGTTTCTCAGAGCTCATGGTTCATAAGCCCGGTGAAGGGCTTCTCCTTGGTCTCTTAGCCACAGTTCTTGCACCACTGGTAAACTCAAATCAAATGGCATGGCCATGGCGTTTATATCATTTGATTCTTATAGTTTTTGTTTTTGACAGAGATGGGCGCGTTCGAAATTTGTGGAGAGTGATATAAAAAGGAAGCTTCGTTTGGTGAAGAATGGCACCGTACCAACGCACAGTTTCCTCCATGAAATCAGTTCTTGCTTGATCTCGACTGTCCCGGAAAAATTCTACGACAAAGTTGAAGATGGAGAAATCAAATTGAAGAAGGCCCCGGGTTTTAGTTTCGGTCACGACGGCGTTTTGGTCGACGGCGAGACTGCACCTATAGAGGCTGACGTCGTCGTTTTGGCAACGGGGTTCAAGGGGGAAAAGAAGCTCAAAGACATATTTGTGTCCAAAACCTTTCAGAACTTCATAGCTGGATCCCATGATGCAGCAATCCCACTGTACAGGTTATCTTTCTTCTTCTTTGTTTTACAATATAGCTAATTACACAAGATATCCCCAAACTCTAGCTTAAATTGTAAATTCGTCTTCACACTTCAAAGTATAACAGCCTAGTCTCCAAAATATCAATCAAAGTTTGTTGTTTCGAACAGGGAATGCATTCCGCCTAGGATACCTCAACTAGCAGTGATAGGATACTCTGAAAGCGTGGCAAATTTGTACACATCGGAGATAAGATGCCAGTGGCTGGTCGAACTCCTCGACGGCACGTTCAAGTTACCGAGCATCGAAGAGATGGAGAAGGATGTGAAAGAATGGGAAGATTACCTGAAACAATACTCGGGCGTAAACTACAAAAGAAAGTGCATCGGTGCTCTTCATGTATGGTATAACGATCAACTATGCAAAGACATGGGATGGAACCCCAGGAGGAAGAAGACATTGTTTGCTGAACTGTTTGAACCTTATGGTCCCTTGGATTATGCCCAGTGATGGATCGAGACGAAAGATCGGGAGCGTAAAATATCTTGTCCTCACTCTCCTTAAATATCATATATTTACCTCCTAACTAAAATATGTTTCAAGCTCGTCCTTTTTTTATTACAAAATTTTGTGACAATTTGAGTTGGACATTTTCCTATTGACTAAGATACGATGAAATCTGATCATGAAAATGTTTGAGTTGTATTTTTGGATCTACTATGTTTACATTATGTCGTTGAACCAGTGCTTAAAACATTATGATATCGAGTCAGTTCTGGAAAGCAAAGACTGTTCCAGTAGACATCATTAAAATATAATTTTATCATATCATAGTTAATATATTAACATATAACTCAGATGGCCATCAATTTTTAACAAAAGAGAATAAACTTAGACATATAAATAGTCTGCTGGTCATTTTATAATTTTTAATAGTTAAAGAATTCAACATAACACATCGCACTTTATTCTAAATAAAATATATAAATTAAATATAAAATCATAACATAGAGAGACAAAAATCATAATTAGAGTAGTTTATATTATTGACCCGTGAATAGGTGGATAAGTCAAAAAGGAATTGTGAATTTGGCTGGTTCTTCTTGGTGCCATTTGAGAATACACACAGAAAAGAAGCCAAATAGAACACTAACTTTCCGTTTTTGTAGAATAAATCCAACATGGGTATGGGATACAGGGTCTGTAGTAACGTCACTTGATCAACTTTTCTAACAATTATATCTCTTCCAACATGGGTATGGGATACAGGGTCTGTAGTAACGTCACTTGATCAACTTTTCTAACAATTATATCTCTTATTTTGTACCAAAAGAAAAAATAATGAAGATTAATATAAAAATAAGTGTCTAAATAATACTTAAAATTGATTTTTAATATAAACTTTTTTAATTAAAAATAGGTATTTAATGTTTTCTTTCTTACACTTTTAGATGCATACCGTTAAAAAACTCTGTTAAATAACATGTGTCACGTTTATGTTTTTTTTAAATAAAAATTATTTAAAAATATATTTTTGAAAGAAAAAATCTAAATGTGACATGTGTTACTTAATTTAACGGTAAGCACCTAAAATTGTAACAGAAAAATATTAGATATCTATTTTAAACAAAAAAAAAATTACACCAAAAAATCTAAACGTGACATGTTTCACTTAACGATTTTTTTTAACGGTAGAAGCCTAAAGGTGTAACGGAAAAAATATTATGCACCTATTTTTAATGAAAAAATCTTTAAGCACCAAAAGTCAATTTTAAGTATAGTTTAGGCACTTATTTTTATGATAAGCCAAACAATTATATATGGATGACAGATGGATATAATTTTGTTGATTTCGCATTGTACCTGCTCCAATTGGGCGGAATGGATATAAGTTTAGTGGGTGGTGGACGGATGTGAATGTAAAAAAATCATATTCGTTGTGGATAGTGAGTAGATAACAGATTTGAGATCTTACAAGCCCCGCATCCGCCCATCCATTAACTACCCTACATATAAATTTTAAATCATTATGAATTTAAGTATAATTTCAGAGATTATTCTGTAAATCTTAAGATTTTACAGAACATGACTTGTAATTTAACCAAACATTATGGTATAAACATTTATAGAATGAAAGATCGTCACTTCTCCTATATCAAATTGGTGGGTATGGATGGGTATAGACAGATACAAGATGGTTGGTGGGTATTCAGTTAGGTAGTGAATGTAGGAATGAATTTGAGAATGCACGTGCATGAACCAGGGGCGGATGTACATGGCTCCCTAGGGGATAGGGAGCCATTGCACACCCATTATTTTAAGAAAAATGTTAAATTTAGTTTAATTTGTTAATAGGAATAGGAAAAAAAAGAAAATTTGCATACCCAAATTTTTTTATAATAAGATATTAAAATTTTAGACCTCATTTTTTAATTTCTATATCCACCACTAGCATGAACGAGTGTGAATTTAAAAATTTTATTCGTAGTAAATGGTGATTATATGGTGGATACAAAAATATTAAAAGATATGAGGATGAAGGAAGAAATATCCGTATCCGGCCTACCTGTTTGTATCCCCTACAATTATATCTCTTATGGGTGAGAGTATCTGGCGGATCTCTTTACTATATGGATTTGTTTAGGTGTTTCGGTTTATCTAAATTTGAGTATTATATCTTTTAAAAGGTATTTAATGATTGATTTAGTCTAAATTTAGAAAAATTTAATTGAATTTAAAGTTTATATTTGATCTCATCCGATTTAATATAAATATAAAATTATTTTTGTTTTAATAAAATAAAAAGATAAATGAAAAAGTGGAGAATAGAAGAATATTATAATATTATTCCTAAAATATAATTAATATAATAAGGTCAAAGATTTGTATCTTAACCCAATTCAAACTTTAATTTCAAAAAGAAAATTCATCCTATTGAATTAAAACCATTAAACACAATTAAAATAATCATCATTATATAGGTTGAATTTATTAATTTAATTTATTTGAAATCTTTAAGGTTCTTCAAATAATGTTTTTATTTGAAATAGATACATAAATAAATAATAATAATTTTATATGTTTTAAAATAATAAACATTAGTTCCATTGCTATTTTAATTTTATTTAATTTTCAAACCGTACAATAATTAAATTAAACAATTTAATAATAAAAAATAGTAATTTGAAGCAATTATTTACGGGTGCTTTCAAGTTCCATCCTCTCTTCACATTGGAAAAAAATATCTCAATTATGAATTTATGATCATGGTGCTTAAGTCAAGATACGTGTCAGCTTATGATTTGTTGATATCTTTCAATGGAGTACGCATTGGAAAACATGATTTCAAACCAAAAATCATTAGACTTTTTTGATTAAAATTTAAGTGATAATTTTTTATTAAAATTAAAATCTAAGTGATGAGATTAGCATTAAATTTTATTTAATATTTATAAAAATTTGTTACCAATCTCAATATTCAATAGAAATAGATTTATTAACCGCAAAAGAAAAAAAATCTCATTCTAATGATAATCGACCTTTAATGGGTACATAATTTTTAGATTTTTACCATCGAGTATTCAATAAATCATACAAATATCATACATAATTAAAATAATTTTTGTCTTTCTTTTTTATTCTTCTATAGCTTCTTCGAATTTCGACAAATTGGAATAAGATTATTTCAAACATACTCTTTGTTTACGGTATTTGATGGAACCAAAGCAAGATCAACATAAAAATAATGTTCTAATTTGACCGATTCTCAAGACGTCATTGTTCGAACAAGTTGGATCCCGGTCCTGAGCCAGGGTAGTGAAGATGGTTGAGTTGTTATAGCCGGCATAGGCACATGTCGATCGACTGCAACCGGACACAGTGACATTGCCGAAGGACAAACCTTGGGAGCCTTCGCATTGCATAGATGGGCATCTTTCCCACCTGGATGGCCTATTAGTTCCAGATGGTTCACAGTGTAATCTGGCCAAAACCAGAATCGGGTGTCACTGAAATTGGCAAATGGAAAAACACAAAATACCCTAAAATGATGAGGCTGTGAGTAAGAACGGATACATGATTTTATGTTAGAGGACGAACTTGAACTTACGGAACGAATTTGAATTTATAAAATTATAAGAAACGAATATAAAAATATATAAGTATAAAATTTATGATAATTTTAAATTTTTAGGAGGGACAACTACCCTATCCATCTCCTCGATCAATCCCTGCGTGTAGAAATATATAATTACGTCCAGTTGTTGTTGGCAGCTTCACAGGTGCATCTTACGCAGCCATTTGCAGTGAAGACGTATGTGCCATTATCAGTGTAGACACTCCATTTCATCCATTTATACGTTACATATATATATATATATTATAATAAACACATATTATATACATTATTTTTTTTACACGTTATAGGCCCCAAAACGACACCTAGCAGTTGGGACCAAAACGCGTGACCCATCTGCTGATACCCAAGCCCGGTTCAAGCCCTAGCAACGTCTCACCCTCGGCGCCGCAAGACACTCCCAAGGAACCCTCATGCTCCACTTCTCCCCACCACCGGCAGTTTCGTTCAGGTTCAACAAACAATTAACGTGGGCACCTAGGACTCATTTGTAAATTGTAATACACATGTCTATTCTCATTTTTTTACTATTTGTAAATTGTAATACACATGTTTATTCTCATTTTTTATGTTAATATATTGTGCATAGGGTAGTACACTGTACCTGTATTAGGATTTCTTTACCAGTTATATCCCGTCTTGAATTACGTGCATGATATGTACACATATTTATTATTTTAGTATTTTTCCCTTATTTCTTTTAATGTTGTTTATATATATATATTTGTTTTCTTTATTCCTTGAGACTAAACGATTTTCTTTATTTTATTTTTATTTTTTTCCTCAACATCTTTTTATTGTTATTTATTTATTTAATATTTATTTTTCAAATTTAACCTTTTTATCTTTTAGGGATAATTTCAATCAATCAAAGGTAAGTAGTTTGAATCAGATTTTTAAATTTAAATTTAAATTTTCGCTAATTAAGGCAACCGGTAAATTAAATGGTACCGAAAGGGCATTTCAAGGGTGCTAATCATTCCTTGACCGTAACCGACTCCCGAACCCGACACGTTTCTGGTACAACGCATATTAGGTATGATGGTGTCCGACCCACCTAAATTCATTTTAAAGTGGTCGGTGGCGACTCTAACCCAACTCATTCACGTCAAAGCCCAATTCCGGGCCCAATCGAAAGACGGTTACGACAGCTTGGCGACTCTGTTGGGGACAGGTAAGTAAGTCAGGCCGAAATTAATTTTCGGTTGTCTTTTTTAGCGAAAATTACAAGTTTAAATTTTAATTTATTTATTCGATTCAAATTATTTATCTTTGATTATTTTTTTCAAGTAAATAGTTTTACTGACGTTTTTTCAATGATTTCAGATTTTTGAAAAAGTTCCCATCCCTGGCTCTATACCCTAGCTCCGAACCTTTTTAAGTGGGGGCGAAAGCGACGCCTTCGTGTGAATTTATTCACCATATGGGCCTAGCAAGTAACCTTCGGGATTCATATACCTTATGTCTTCGTGTGAATTTATTCTCCGTATGGGCATAAGGAAATGTATCCTCTCGAGTTTAACTTAGTCCACATAAGCTTGTGATTGGCTTAGGATTAAGGGTCTGGCAAGACTAAGGGGGCACCGGCAAGGAGAACTCGAGTACCTTTTTAGAACCTAAACCAGGAGACTACAGAAGTCAGAGCCCATCCCAAATCCTCATTCCAAACCCTAGGCCATCTTGAGTTATTTCCTACTTTACTTTTTGTTCCAAGCATGCGAACTAGACAAATATGCGGTTAGGATTTGTGTGGAATTAGCATGCGGGATAGAGATCATGTCCGGGTAAGAATTAAAGCATATGGGGTAGATATCATGTGGGGTAGGATTTTTTGTTTTTATTATTATTTTGATTTATCTCACTAACTCTATTTTACTTTTGTTCTCTTTTATTTTGTTTTCATTTAAAAGAGGTGTTGATCCACCAAAAACGTGTTTGTTAAAACATGAATAATCTACATTAATGGATAAAGGGGTTGTAATATAAGAGATGAAAATACAGAGGACAGTCTACAAGGCGACTATGTGTCGCATTCAATCTAGAAGACGTGGTGCCCACAATTGAAGAGTGTATCACTCTACTGCATTATAAAGGACTCAAAATGAACTAGGTCTACATCAAGCACAATGAAAGTCTATCTTTGAAGAATTGACTGGCAGAGGTTGCAGGGGCAAGATGAAGTGAGTCCCTTCAAACACAACAATGGCAAAACGATAGCTGAAATTGGAGACCCTTGCTGATGAATTCAAGAAACAGACAAATGAACTTCACATAGTTCCTATCAATTGAGGGCTCCAATGATGTATTCGTTGGGAACATGTTCAACAAAATATAAATGCCAGAGATTCAGTCCAGTACAAAAAGTAACTCAACATTTGCACGGTTCATCCAGAAAAGCCGGAGCGGTTCGACATGTTATTCAACCGGTGACAGACGAAGGGAGAAGACTAGTCAACATGTCAAAAGTTGTCACGATATTTTTTGTCTCTTAAAAGATAAAACACTTTTGTCCCCAAAAAAGATTATTCATAATAACAAACACATTTTTTGGATTAATGCCTCGAACATTTCATGCATCATGCATTCTTACATATTCCATATTATTTTCATATTCTTTTCCGTTTTTTTCATTTCATCCACATTAACTAACTGAAGAATGTTTCAATAACAGGAATAAACACTGGACATTCTACCTCAAGCGTTGGACACACCCCATCCACATAACACCTGCTTGAAAAAGAAAAAAATGGAAGTCAGGATTGCTCAGATCGAGGAGAACATGGCAAAATTACAGAAGGAGTTTGAAGATAAGATAAACCAGAGTAGTTTGAGTACTCTGAATACAATTATGAAGAACCAAGAATCTTTGGTTGATCAGATCGTTGCCAAGTTAGTTATCCTACAATAAATCAGTACGCTTGGGGCAAGTTCACCAGAAGGGGTAACTATACCACCTACCCCGCAAGTGGTTGTCTCACATGAAAACTTACCAGAACTTCGAGGGGACTCATATGCTGCAAAAGCGAAGCCCTCGTCCTCTGTATTTAACCCTGAGAACAATTCAGGTTATTACCATATACCAAATTCGGAAAAAGAGGACAAATCAAAGAAGATGGAGGAGAAAATCAAGCAGTTGGAGGAGCAAACGAAGGTAGTCAAAGGGGACCATGACTACCCTGGAGTCGATGCCGCGGAGCTTAGTCTAGGCCCAAACTTGGTTCTTCCTCCAAAATTCAAGTCACTGGAATTCGAGAAGTTTGACGGGAACAACGATCCATCCGTACACATCACCATGTTCTGCCAAAAGATGACGGGATATGGAGGAAACGATCAGCTCCTGATTCACTGCTTCCAGGAGAGTCTGTCTGGCTCAGCCATCCGGTGGTAAAACTAGCTCAGCCGAACCCATATCAAGACTTGGAAGGATTTAGCCAAGTCATTTCTGGAACAATATAAGCATATTAACGATATGAGACCAGACAGGGTTATGCTACAAGGCCTGGAGAAGAAGCACAACGAGAGTTTCCGACAATACACACAGCGTTGGAGGGATCTGTCTGTGCAAGTTCATCCACCATTGGATGAAAAGGAAACTAAAAAGCTGTTTTTATAGACCCTGAAGGCACCTTACTTCGGACACCTGGTGGCAATTACATCGGGAACTTTCTCAGATCTAGTTATGGCTGGTGGGATGATCGAGCTAGCTATAAAACAAGGAAAAATTGTGGGAAGTGACTCCAGTGATAAGCCTCCCATGAAGAATAAAGAAAGGGAGATCAACAAAGTCAACACCTACAACGCCAACAAAGGTGTTACGATCTCCACAGCTGTTGTACCATCCGGTACTTCTAAACAAACTCAGAGAGAACCGAGGAAAGAAAAGATTCGCATCGGTCCTATCCCAATGACATATGAGGAGCTACTCCCAACGCTAGTTGAGAAAAATCTTGTGACTCCGGTTTAATCCAAACCTAGGGAGGCCCCATATCCTGAAGGCCATGATATTAACGCCGTATGCAGCTATTATATTGGGAGCTCAGGGCACACCACTGAGAACTGTGGGGCATTAAAACGTAAGGTCCAAGATTTGATCGATTCAGGGGCATGGACTTTCAATATGTAATGGGGCATTCCGATCGAGAGTCGAATGAGGCATCCATCAAGAATTTTCGTGCACTTTCAAGCATATCATCTTGTTTGAACTTGTTTTTCTTTCATACTTCTTATGCGTGAACGTTTTTAAGTCACTTGACATTTAAACATTTTAAATAAAATGCCTTCTTAGGAAATGAGCAAATTTTAATCTTGAATTCCTTGAATATCACCTTAATTAAAATCTGTTTAATAATTGAGGTTGTAAATCTTTGATAAATGACAAGATTGAACCCTGCAAAACAAAGACCCCTTGGTCCTAATTTAAAAAGATACATTAGACTACATTTTTTCTCTTACCGAGCTAAGTTTTCTATTATCATGAAGAGTCCATCCAAGGTTTGACATTCAGACACGTATTAAGAGCGAACAGAATGGGACATGAGATTGCAAAACTAATTGGTTTATACCTTTGTTTATGACGTTCAGTGATGATAGTAATCTTCACAGATGGAATAGTCTAGTAAGTGAGTCTAGTTTAGGTCAGTTTCTTGAAAATTGAATTCTAAAGAGGAAATTTTTGACTTTCAACAACACCTAGACTATAACAGGTTCTTCTTGACAATCTTAAGAAATTAAATCCGTAAAAACTAAGCTATTCCGCTAAGGCAATTGCTTATAGAGGAAACTCGAAAGCCCTGGCTTTATGAATAGATTGCGTTCAAACCATGACATTGCTCGGACACTTGGCAACTCGGTGTTTGCTCCACTGCTATTGTCAAGCTGAAGACTTTGTGATAAGATGAACCCTTCAGTTAACCTGATAAAAGTGATTATAATATTAAGCTTTCCCTCTAAAGCAATTAGTTAAATGCCCTGGCTTTATGGATTTGGCTAGCCAGATAATGGCAAATTAAATCAAATTTATCTAAACAAGAAATTTTAGGTAATAATGGACTAAGGGATTTAAGGAACATCTGTTATAGTCAACATCACACGAGTACTCTAGAATCTCATTTTTAGATCGATATTTATGCACTACCTTTGTTAGAGGAGCTTACAAAACTTGAACAAATGGAAGATTTCAGAGAACTGAAACAGAAATATTTTGAAAGGTCTAGCCATTGATTATGCTTGTTGTGTCATTTTGTTCGCCTCCGATCAAAATATCAAATCAAGTGACATGATCTTCCCAATGACCGAATCGATGAAACAAACCTGAATAACCCACCTCTAAACCAACTTTTTGATCTTAATATTTGTCAAACGTTTGAAGCTATCAAAGATTAAAAGAGTATTTGATTCTTTGGATATCCAATGAACTTTGGTTTTATGATTTGATTCAATTGTGAAACCTAAAAGGAGGCAATAGTTTTTAAAAACTCCTTCTGATATTTTTCAAAATTTTGAAAATTCAAAGGAAAAAGCATTTTCAAACAAGATGAGTTCTCGGGAAGCATGTCTTGGAAATCAACGAATATCTCTCCGAAACTCAAGATTGAAACTGGGGCAGGGGAAGCCAAATTTTTGGGGAAAAATTTGTTGGAGCAAGGAAAATAAATTGTCTTAGGTCGAGGTCTTCAAGAGTACACCCTAGTGGAAATGAAAACAAACTGAGTCAGAGATAGAATAAAGAATGCTCACGCAATTATTCCCTTCACAGATCAACATCAGATTTAAGCATGTTGAAAAATCCAAGATCAAGAATAAGAAGTTCAAGATTCCAAGGTCGAGAGTCATCTAGACTGACAACCAGAGATTGAGATTTCTTTCCAAACCATATGCATCAACACATGCATACATTACACATGAAATTTGCATCTTTGCATTCATCATCATGTGCAATAAAGATCTTGATTTTTCCTCTTTTGAGGACAAATTCGATAAAACAACAAATAAATTTCATCTTGGCATACATCAAACATCCATCATCATGATAGTTGCATCCATATATATTTTACAGATCTTTTAGGAGAAGATGAGATTAAAAGACAACAAGGCATCATCATCAAGAGGGAACAATCATCTTCAGATTCAACATTTCCGATATAAATTGTGTCTCGCTTGAGACAGTCTCATTTAATGCAGATGATTTGTCTCACTTGAGACTGTTTTACTTAAAAGAAGATTTATTTCCCTTGAGATTATCATTCTTAAAACAGACCTTGTCTCACTTGAGACTGTTTTACTTGAAAGAAGATTTATTTCCCTCAAGATTGTTTTTTAAAACAAGATTTTATCTCGCTTGAGATAGTTTCCCTCGAAACAGAAAATTTTGTCTCCCTTGAGACAGTTTCTCTTGAAACATAAACATTTAAAACATTTCCCTTGAAATGAATTTTCTCTCTTTTGAGATAGTTTCCCTTGAAACAAATTTTGTCTCCCTTGAGATAGTTTCCCTTGAAACAGATTTTGTCTCCCTTGAAACAATTTCTCTTAAAACATAAACATTGAAAACATTTCCCTTGAAATGAATTTTTTCTCTCTTGAGATAGTTTCCCTCGAAACAGAAAATTTTGTCTCCCTTGATACAGTTTCTCTTGAAACATAAACATTGAAAACATTTCCCTTGAAATGAATTTTGCCTCTCTTGAGATAGTTTCCCTTGAAAAAAATTTTGTCTCCCTTGAGACAGTTTCTCTTGAAACATAAACATTGAAAACATTTCCCTTGAAATGTATTTTCTCTCTCTTGAGATAATTTCCCTTGAAACAAAACCTTTGAAATTGTTTCTCTTGAAACACCAAAGCTTTGAGTTCGATTTTAACTTTACAACGAAAGATATCGTGCTCAGAAGTTTCTAATTCATCTCAACCTCACGATGAGGGAGACATTCCGAGATTTAAATTAACAGATCAGTCATTACATCGGATTTCAACTCTACAACAGAGGACATCCGATATGGATGAAATTTGTGTTTATTAATCTTTGCTTCATTTTTGTTACACGATAATAAGCAAAGAGGGGCAGCTGTAGATACACAATTTCATCCATTTATACGTTACATATATATATATATATATATATATATATATAATAAACACATATTATATACATTATTTTTTACACGTTATAGGCCCCAAAACGATACCCAGCAATTGGGACCAAAACGCGTGACCCATCTGCGGATACCCAAGCCCGGTTCAAGCCATAGCAACGTCTCGCCCTCGGCGCCGCAAGACACTCCCAAGGAACCCTCACGCTCCACGTCTCCCCACCACCGACAGTTTCGTTCAGGTTCAACAAACAAGTAACGTGGGCACCTAGGACTCATCCACAACCAAGCAACAGAAGACCAATGCTATTAGGACTCTAGATTTGAGACTAAAAATACATTTTTTTTCTGTTATAAATATGGAGTGTAAATCGAGCATAGGGGGGTGGAAAAATACAAGGAACCCGTAGCAAAAAAAAAACAGAGATTTGGGTGAAGGGGATTTTCGAAAAGAATAAAAAATTCGAAAACGAGAGAGAGCTTACCTTCGAATTTTCGACGACGGTAGCTCCGGTGGCCGGACGATAAAACCGAACGGTTAACTGAAGGAGAAGCCCGAGGAGAGCAACATATCTCAGAACAGAAATGATCTAACGGCGGAATAACCAAATCGAAACAGTGGAAACTTGAACGATATTTGACTTTTTCGTGGGGTTGAAGGCCATATATCGCAAAACCAATACCAGATCCGAGCTACTGGTGTTAAGACAAACCTTCCCTTTTATTTTGGCACCGAATGACTACCGGAGACTAGAGCTGGTGATGGTCCTCCCTTCCTCCCTTTCCCGGTGAAATGTTTTTTCCTCTCTGTTTTCTTTACCAAGAGGAAAAAATGAGCACTTTAAAATTATTTTGGTGTCTTGTATGTGCACAGGTATTAATGCAGGGGTCATTTGTGTATGAAGTCATTCTAGTTTTGAATGAATGCATTTTGGTTATGTTTTGGGTTACTTTCATAATACTTTGAGCCCTTTATTTTATCTATATTATATTTTCATCATTTATGTTTGATTACTTATTAGATCGAATTATCCTTATTTATTTTGATCGAGTAATTTCACAATCTATTTAATTTACACTTACCTTTTAGAACTTATTTTTTTCGTTTATTTTAGTGTCTGCAGGTTTTATTTTACCATTTGTAATTGTAATACACATATCTATTCTCATTTTTTATGTTATTATATTATGCATAGAGTAGTACATTGTACCTGTATTAGGATTTCTTTGCCAGTTATATCTCATCTTGAACTACGTGATATGTACATATATTTATTATTTTAGTATTTTTTCCCTTATTTCTTTTAATGTTGTTTATATATATTTTTTTTGTTTTTTTATTCTTTGAGATTAAACGATTTTCTTCATTTTATTTTTATTTTTTTCCTCAACATCTTTTTATTGTTATTTATTTATTTAATATTTATTTTTTAAATTTAATATTTTTATCTTTTATGAGTAATTTCAATCAATCAAAGGTAAGTAGTTTGAATCAGATTTTTAAATTTAAATTTAAATTTTCGCTAATTAAGGCAACCGGTAAATTAATTGGTACCGAAAGAGCGGTTCAAGAGTGCTAATCATTCATTGACCGTAACCGACTCCCGAACCCGACACGTTTCTGGTACAACGCAGATCAGGTAAGATGGTGTCCGACCCACATAAATTCGTTTTAAAGTGGTCGGTGGCGACTCTAACCCAACTCATTCACGTCGAAGTCCAATTCCAGATCTAACCGAAAGACGATTACGACAATCAACAAGGGGAGGAGAGTTCAATGAGTCGTATCGTATTGACGAGTTACAAGCTGTTGAGAAATAAGAAATTAATCGTATTACACTGCTATAATTGGTCTCACAATTGTAATGGTAAAATTAATTCTCTTTATTCATATATATAGGGATAGGCATGGGTTGGATTTTTGGCTGACTCGACCTGATTCGAAAATTTAAATATTCTACCTGACCTGAACCTAACCTAAAAAATATATCCTTTCCACCTGACTCGATTTTTTGAGTTAAAATCTGAACTCGATCCGACCCAAAATAATATATTTATTAAAAATAAAGATTTAATTGAAAGAAAATAATATATAGAGGATATTATTGTAATTATCCCTAAATATATAAGGTAAATTATATTTTTTTCGGGTCAGATACTTTTCACCCTAATTGTTTTTAAAAAAATTAACCTAATCAACTCGGATCAAGTCAAAACCCGTCAGATTCGAGTCTATATCCATCCCTATTCATATCTGATTTGATTTGAGTTTATGAAAATTTAACTTAAATTTTGCATGTCAAAATCTACACTCAGCCAATATATATAGTATTAAATAAGTATATTAACTCATATATATATATTGAAATATTTTGGTTTTTAATTCTCAAACGTTTTATTTTAGGTAAAAATTAAACTAAATATTCATTTTTATTTTTTTAACATTTTAACCGTAAATATTTAATTTTCTTTAATAACAATGAAAGAAGACCCTAGGCTATTAAAGCAGAAAAACACCCAGCCTTAAGATCTGGAGCCAGTCTGTACATCCGATTCCAGCAGCTTCAGCACCTCCGTCGGCGGCTCCATCAACGCATGAAAATCCAGTAAATTATTCCTTGCTAGCCTCGCCAAACCATCAGCTACACGATTACATTCTCTAGGAACAAAATGACAACGTAGCTGCCAATCCCTTCGAACTAACTCTTGTACATGGAAACCATCGACGAAACACCATCATGGGGAAGACCTTGAAGAACCGCTACTACCTCCTTACTATCCGACTCAACAACAATGCGTCGATAGTTCAAATTCCAAGCCAAGCTTAAACCCAAATAAATACCCCACAATTCAGCATCTAACACCGAGCAAAGACCAAGAACCTTACCATTTACCAAAACCGGTAATCCATTCGGTAACTTTATCCCGAAGAAACCCTCCGCATGTGGCTAACCCGGTCGAAAGGTATCTCGCACCATCCGTGTTTAACTTGATCCAGCCATCCGGGGGCTTCGACCATTTTACTTCTCGATTCGTTTCCTGTCCCTGGCCTACTTTTGCTTATGAATTCCTGTGATGAGCTTCGATTCACAATGATCTTCATTATCGCCTTAAACAACACCGTGCAGAGGCTTATCGGTCGGAATTGGGAAAAATTCTCCGGGCTTGCTACTTTCGGAATCAAGACAAGAAGAGTTCGGTTAATATCAAATGGCACTACCACCTGACGGAGGCAGACACGCACAAAGCAACATATATTCGGTCCGATAATCTCCCAGTTCTTCTGGTAAAATCCTGCATTAAAGCCATCTATTCCAAAACATACACCCAAACATGGCGAAAAAATCTAATCCCGGATATAAATCACTTAAGCGCTCCCACAAATGTTTACGGATCGCTGCATTTGAGCTTGCATAGACAACAATGATAAAACACGTCCCAGATAATCATCCTCAACCAACACATGTATAAACTGATTCGCAATACCTACAACTTGAACTCTTACCGGATCCTGCCAAAGCATCCATATACCCCTACTGAAACCATGCGCCTCAACACGGATGGAATTGAACGAGCCGAGAGATTGGATAACCTCATTCGCTCGATGTTCATTCACCCTTGGTTCAACCAACGCTATCAAAGAAGGCTTCTGACTGACCATAAACTGACAAAAAAAATGACGATATGAAGGGCTTGCTACACCCTGACTATTCCAAGACATACACCCAAACATGGCGAAAAAATCAAGAAATTATTTTATCCGGAACCTCAGGTTCCGATCCCACCCGAGCTACTGATTCACTAGTAGGAATCGAAGTTGATCCAATCATCATCTCCCCCATCCCGATACCGGGCGGTACATTGTTACCTAAACTATCAATCCGAGCAGTTGCCAATTGAACCCATTCAGTGAGAAGAGGTCGATTAGGAGCTTTATAATTCAACCGTTTTTTTATGTTGAGCCCTTTATTACCCGATTTTTTCCTTTAATAAATTTCCCCGCCTTAATACCAGCAACTCTTTCACGAATTCCCGCTCTTTCTTCCATTACACCATCGTTGATCCTTGCTGTTGTATGATTACCCCCTTTGATAGACGGAAAGTTCATCGTGACACTCACCTCCATGCCCGGCATGGACGACCTTCACTGCTGATTATGATTTTTCCCGTGAATTTCCACTCTTCCTCTTCAGCGCCCTACTGTTTGGCCCATCCCGACTAGATCCCAACGGCTCCTTCCCAGTATTTCCTCTCCAAACTCCACTGCCACTTACATATTCCGTATTATCCCCATCGAAGTCAACTGTCTTCCCAAATTTCCATTCAAAAGAGACTATAGCCACCAAGGAGGAGTTGGCACCATTTTCAGCCTTTTCTGGTCGTATGGCTGCACTGGACTACATTGTGATGAAAGCGATGTTTTCGTCGCAAACAATAACGGAAACATGGCTCGAATTTTAGCCGGTCGAAGGTGTGCAACTCTTTTACATTGGGTTTAGCATGTAAATCGCATCCATAACACATTCGACCAACATTTGTCTATTGCAGGAGATACTTTGGTCACAAACCAACAATTCGACCAAACGCCAAGAAACTGTATAAACTGTTCTTTGACCGAAATAACACGGCATGGGACGAGTTTGCTTCCAAGGTTCAAACTTATCAGATTGGTTTCATGGGGGAACCAAAAGAGGTGAAACCCGGTAAGGGTGAGTTTCATGAAAATCCACATAGCTGCATAAGCGAGGCTAAGGGTCTTAAATCTAGTCAAAATCAAACTCCTGAAGGCTATGACAATAGTAAAGACGGGAACAATGGTGTTGAAGTGAGTGATGAACAAGAACAACAATCTATTGAGGAGGATCCAGATTGGACCGACATCGATTATTTAGATAACAATGTTGCGTATAAGGAAGTACCTAACGTGGACAGTAGCGTGTTAACCAAACCTAAACAACCTGAAGTGGAAGAGTTCTTTTCAGACTAAACTGAAGCCAGCAACAGGTTGGATCTTCCTCAAAATTTAGTTATTATTTGGCAACCATAGAGTGAAAGTCTTTGCTACTATTCTAATATGACATTGAAGGGACGTCTGTACATAAAAAGAATTGGCTTGGCAATGATAAATATTGCTAATGCTCGATCTTAAGACTTGAGGGATATCATGAATTTCTTTAACAACGAGATAACTTTGTTCATACAGGCCGGGACATCCAGTTTCTGTAAATGGTAAGCTCATAATTTCATTTTTTTTTAACATCTGGTCAGTTTTTTCCGTAAGGAACTGATTTGTTCCTAGTTTAGGCTCTAGCATAT